CACCCCTGATGCCCCATCTCACATCACCCCTAATGCCCCATCTCACAACACCCCTGATGCCCCATCTCACATCACCCCTGATGCCCCATCTCCCGGCAAGGACTCACAGTTACACAGACCACAGGTGCCCCAGCTTTGCGACCCCACAGATGGGAGCTGGAGTGACAGTGCCAGCACACAGGAAGTCTCTCCTGTGAACAGCTGCTGTTTTTACACGTACAGTCATACTTGTACAATGAGAGGCAGAGATACTGAAACTGAGCAGTGCTTTATGCCTGGTGCATGACTGATGGGAGTGCCCATCCTGTATCACTGGCTGCCCACTCTGCTTTATGGAGGCACATAATTTACCCTCTTCAGTAAAAATAGAGGAGGAGGAAATAAAAATCTCAGCATGTCCCCAAAGAACTGTAGGAGATTAAAATTAAATCTATCCATTACACTCACCAAGCAGGGTGCTGTCTGGGCAGGAACACTGTAGTTGTACACCTGCATGTTCAAAGAAAATAAATTGAGTATTAGAGAAGTGTCAGAGGCAATCCAGCACCCCACAGCAAAGTGCTTCAGGTCATAAAACAAACTCACACGACTTGGAAAAACAAAAAAGAAATAACACTTAACTAAGCTGAACAGCAACACTGCTCAGCACAGCTGCAGCACCTCTTCTCAACCGTGCATCAAAGGTTTGCTTCATCCTCGGTTAAAATTTTGTCTGACACTTCTGCTCAGGCCCAGGTTTTTTGGGTTTGTTCTGGGACGTGCATGTCGTGTGCTGTGGGGGAGAAACACCTCTCCTACTCCCTTCACTGAGTCCTGTAAGCCTCTCCCTGTGTTCCTCCTGTTGTAATGTCCAGAAAGCACATTTAGCTCTCACTCACTATAGCTCTGCAAGGCAGGACAGTAAAAAGCAGCTTACCTGGAGAGGCAGGGGGCCAGGCCAGCAGCAGAGGGCTGGGAACAGAGCCGCGGAGGCAGGAGCAGGGGAATTCCTGTGAAAATACAGGAAAACTCCCTCACAGCCACTGCACTGCAGCAAGGCCGTGGCTCTCAGAGCGGCTGTGCCCAGAGCAGCTGAGGGACACAGAGCAGCCCATCCCCACCAGGATCCAGAGAGGTGCCTCCATTTCCCAGCAGGCCCTGCACGGTTTTATCCCTCTCTCTTTGCTCTTGGCACTCAGTGGCTGCCTGGAGGCCAAGGGCAGGCAGGTACACAGTGGGCAGCTCTGGCAGCAGGGATGAGGCCCAGAGCTGCTCCAGCTGCCCACAGCAGGTGCCCAGCACCGCTTGTTGCTCCAGCCAAACGCTGCCTCCCCCCTGCTGAGGCTCCACATGGATCCCACCCTAGGGCTTGGGAATTAAGCGGATTTTAAGCTCTGCAATAAAAAGCCATTTGACTTGAAAGAATGTTGTTATTCCTGAGAGGGGGTTTGCGCTGCTTGCTTGGATCACCTCAAAGTGAGCCGGTACTCGGGCTGCCCAAGGAAATGCCATCGCAGTCTCCTGGGAGGCTCAAGGAGCGCCATGACTGACACACAGCCCATCCCGGCAGTGGGGTCAGCCCAAAGCAAACCAGGAGTCCTGCCCAGTATCAGGTGTTCCAAGAGCCCCAACCCAGCATGGAAATGCTGCTCCCCCGATCTCCTCAGGTCTCTCGGCAAACCGGGAGCCTCCTTGGCCCGCTCGGAGCCCCGCGGGACGGGCNGACATTGTGAAGGTGACGAGGATGAACATCAACGGGCAGTGGGAAGGAGAGGTGAACGGGAGGAAGGGGCTCTTCCCATTCACGCACGTGCAGCTCTTCGACCCTCAGAACCCCGAGGAGAGCGAGTGACTCCCCTGCCCCTCTCACTGCTGCTTCATTCTCCTGGCTACCATTGGCATTCTTTGAGGTGGGATGATGACTTAGTGGCACATTGCTAGCACTGCCCATTTTCCAGCTTGCTGCAGTTTGACAGTTCTTTTCATGTACATTTGGAATTCATACAGCTGAAGTCACTGCCTGACCTTCAGATCATAGTTACGTCATCCAGAATTTAGTTTCACTTTTAAAACTGTTTTGGGCCTTAAGCTGGACAAGACTGAACCAGAATATAGCAGAGAGGTTTGGGAAAGAAACCTTTCCTGTTGAGACTTCCATGGACTTCTTTCTGGTTTGCTCAGTAGGAAGAGCCCTAATCTTAGATCAAACAAGCAATTTTGTGCATTACTGTCCAACAAAAAGCAACAACAAAAATGCAATTTTAGAACTGAAGAAGATTTAGTTTTGAAATTACCTGTGCTAAGGTAGTACATTTAAAATGATGGTTTCTTTAAAGGACAATAATTGGAGCTTATGTGTTCTAAGCAGTTGTAATAGACACTGCTTTTTTCTGTTAACCCTTAAGCTTGTTGTTGACCTTCCTGAAACAGTGTGTGTTACATGCAAATAACCATTGATTCAGCTGCATTGAAGCTGAGGCATTTATTTATAAGGAAACCCAGGAGGAGGTTGTACTTGTAACTTGGTTTTGACATATTTAATGCATTTCTGTTGATTTTTGCAAGCACTAACTGTAGAAAGTGAGCTTTAAGGGGAAACACATTGGCCTGGCCTACAAACAGCTCCTCTGCAGTGTTGAAGGTGTGGTTTGACTGGTACAGAAGTGCTTGTCATCAAGCTGTTACTTGGTAGACAGATCAGACTGCCATGAGGAGAGGTAGGAGTGGGACAGAAGAACTTGGTAAATACCGATAAAATCCTCTTATTTAAACATTTAAAGACCTTTTATATCCATTTCTCTGCAGGCTCCCTGCTCTCTCCAAAGTTTCCTAGCTGTACCAGCCCCAGCCCATCAAAAGTTCCTTTTCAGACACACACAGTACCTTTTTACCAGGGTGTCTGTGTTGCTGTGCTTCTCTTCCAGAGCTGCTTTCATCTTCTTTTTCCCTTCCTTTTTTTTTTTTTTTTTTTGAAAATATCCCCAATCCTCTGCATGCTGACTTCTTTCTTTTACCCTCCCTGNTCCCTTCAGAGGGCAATGCCCTCAGCACCAGAGCTGCTGGCACATGAGAGTGCTGGGGTCAGGAAGAAAGCCCCACAGCCCCTTACACACAGTTGCCTCTTAGATTAATTTAATAGATGACTGCATTGACCCCAGAGAATTCTGTGCAGCTCCCAGCCCACCGTAGCTCCCCAAGCATGGTGGCACCAGGACCCTGTCACAGAGCTGGTGTGTGCCCATGGCAGGATGTGGCCCTGCCAGTGATTCTGCTACATCCACTGCCACAGCAGGGCTCTGGTGGGATGGCTAAAGCACAATGCTGCAGCTCAGTGACTGCCACAGGCACCGCTTTGGGACTAAAATTTCCTTGAATATCTGGTTTAAAGTTAGTCCTAACTTCATTCAGTCTCCACACCAGAGCTCTGTGCTGCCCTGTGGAGGATAGAATGGCAGACAGTTCCAGCTCCAGAACCAAGTCTTCTTTAATCTAAGGACATGATTTCTTTGCTAGACATGATGAGCTGTGTGCCCTGCATTCTATTCTGTCCACTGATGTTTGTATTCCAAAAGCCACTACATCATCTGGTTCTGCCCAGCTGTCTAAAAAAAAACCAAAACAGACAACATCCTGTGTGCTGCTGGGACCTCTTTGTCAGAGCCTGTGAACTCATCTGCATCCAGCAGCAGGATGGATTGAACAAACTGAGGCAGTATTTTATTGCTGAAGCATAAAACACGGGAATAAACAAGCACCAAAGTGCTACTGATCATTAAAAGCAGATGGGAGCCCATTTACTGCCTCCAGCAGCGAGGTGCCACGGCTGCTCCGCTGGGGCCCCCTTGAAATAGGAAACCCAGAGCACCATCTGGGAGGTGCAATGGCAGTGGCTGCAGCAGCCCCTGCAATTCCAGCCTGGAGTTCTCTGTGCTCCCACCACCACCCCAGGGATGAGCAAGGCGTGCCAGAGCTCTGAGTCCTAGCTCCAGGAATGCAGCCACCCCTGTAAGGCTGTGCCGACAGGAAAATGCCCTGGGAGGGACAAGCAGCTCATCCAGGGCCGGTCCCATTGTCCAGGGGGGTGGGATGGGGACAATCACAGGCTGAATTCCCACACACAGACCAGGGACTGGCAACATTTCACTGGTATTTGTTCGGATGCACATCAGAGAACCATCAAGGCTTCTGGTTATTGCTGTGCAATTCAGCTCTCACATGATGGATTAACCAAGGCAGTCCAGTCTGACCCTCTTCCTTACCAACCGGCGCTGTCTGGCACGGGAAGTGAAGTGCTAAGGCTGGGAGAAGCCAGAGGCCGTTTCCTCTCCCTCCTAATTAACACACCCACCACAGATAAGCACCCAACAAGAACACTCGCAGCCTGTCTGCGGGAAGCTGGCCTCCAGGAACAGCTCCATCCTGAGCACCCGCAGCTGCAAGCTGAGCTCAACCCCCTCCCCAGACTGAAGCTTTGCACCTTTGTCTCCAAGTCCCAGCTCCCCGTGGCAGGGAGCCCTCTCAGCAGCCAAAATCCGAGCGCGGCATGGGGCCAGGGATGGATTCCTGGGCAGCCCGAGAGGAGATGCAAATGGAGCGGGAGAATCTCGAGAAGCAGAGACAGACAGATGCTTTTACACTTCAAAGGGAACGGGGCCCTGCGAGGCTCTCAGGAATACGCACAAATCGATAGACTCCTTTCAAACACCGAGCACATTTGCTCAAGTGTGAGGCAATTATTCCCTGAGGATGGAGGCAGGACAAGGCCATTAACAGCCATACGGGCAGGACGGGACATGCGGCAGCTCCAGCCCAGCCTGGGGGGCAGAACGCCGCTCTCCTGGTCGAGCTTTCTCATCCAGGATTTACAAAATGCCCTCGTGTCCCCAGGGGCTCACTCAGCCTATGTCAGTGCCATGCTCAGCACATGCTTTGGGTGAGCAGCGGGTTTGATCACACTGCTCTAGTTCACTGCCTTTATCCCGGGAGGGCTGACTTGAGCCTACTGAAGCAATTCCCATTTCCCCCTCACCGAACGCTGCTGGGCAGAGCCTGAGCTGCTCTGGAGAGCTCTGTCTCCACTGAGCTCCTCCTAGATGGCAAAGCAGAGCCCAAAGCAGATTGTGGGGGAGCAGAGGGCTGGCTGCTCAGCACGGGGACAGACCCCGTGGTGTGACAGGAATCACGCCTGACTCATGCCTGCCTACCCCGCACCGGCACTGCCCGCAGATCACCCTCAATGCCCCATCTCACATCACCCCTAATGCCCCATTTCACATCACCCCTAATGCCCCATCTCAGATCACCCCTGATGCCCCATCTCACAACACCCCTGATGCCCCATCTCACAACACCCCTGATGCCCCATCTCACAACACCCCTGATGCCCCATCTCACATCACCCCTAATGCCCCATCTCACAACACCCCTNCGGCACATCCATCCCCGCGGCAGGCGGGGCAGCCACGGGCGGTGGGAATTAACGCTGCTCCCCTCAGTTAACCTTCCCAGCACCTGCTTGCTTCATTCCAGGCATTTTGTAACCAGAACCCTCCCTGCACGCGTTACTGGCCTAACCCGCCGCTGGCACCGCAGACAATTGGGATCAGAGCTAAATCTGGGCCATCCACAGGGAACTGGCTCCGGCTTTGTACGTCCTGGTCCGACAAGGGCAGCTGAAAGTCAGCGCTGAGAAATCCTTTACCAGCATTTGGTCTAGAAATGTATCACTAAAGCTGAAGTGAAAGTGTGGATCCAAGGGATTGTTAATCCCCCTGCACTGCACTGATTCCCAGTCTGTGCCATCCAGTGAATCCTCTCCAGAGCCTCTCGCTGGGCTGGCAGAGGGCAGCAGGGCTGGAAGGGCAGTGCTGGACGTGCTGCTTTGCCTTCCCCTGCCTGCCCCTGTGCCCAAAATCCAGCTGGTTTGGGGGGAGTGGCAATTCCAAGGAGGGGATGCTGTTTTGAACAGACAGAAGGGACTGACATAAGTGAACAACAGGAGCTGGTTTGAAACTCTTGGCACTCGACTCCTGCTCAGCCCACCAGCAGTCAGCAGCCAAGCTGGAGACCCCCAGGGATGCTCCTGACAGAAGGGACAAACCCAGCCAGGTCTTAGAGTGCGCTGTTGCTATCCTTGTCATAGAAAATACAAAAATCAAACTTGCCCATTTTTCATTACTGGGAAGTAATGACTCCCTCTATTTCTAGACTCAATTTCCACAGTTTTTAATTTATTCTGTTACTACTTTGATCTGGATTATGTAGCTCAGGGGCTGTCATGAGGACTTCTACCTGCTGAATCCATTTCTGGATGTTAGACCATCTCTTCTTGTGACCTGTGATACAATGAATCCACCGACCTTGAAGAGAAAGAGCTTTTCTCTTTCCAGGTATCGCAGCTGGTGCTCTGGCTCCGAGTCTGCAGTGAGGATGGATTCCCAGCTCTGGGCTGGAGTCCTGCTGAGCAGCAGCCTCATGCTCTGCAGGGCACAAAGGAAATGTAATTCATCAGGCTTGGCCTGCGTTGTGTGAGGAAGAGCCATATCCCACAAAGACTGAGCAGCCCTGCTGTGCCCGACTACCTGGAATAGCTGTGCCTACTCTGCACTTTGGAGAACGAGATCTAAAATTAACAAAGATCATTTCCCTGCAAGAAATAGCACCTTGGCCTGGACATGAGACACATCAGCAGGAGTCTGAAACAGAAAGGCTAAAATTAATTCAGGTCTGGGATTCTGCTGAATGCACTAACACAGGTCTGACCACCACAGCATCACTGGAAATCTCTGGCAAAAACCATCCCTAACTGCAGGATGCACCCCAGCAAGTGACAAAAAGGTTACTAAAAGCACTCAGTAGCAGCTCCTGCCTGTAAGAGGCTCAGTGACCCACCCTCACCATCACTAGTGACCATCTGATGGAGGCAGAGGAGGGTGATGGGATGGGAACAGTTCTCTCATGGTGCTGGATTTCTAGCAAGGCTTTGTGCTTTTACAGCAGCAGAAGCCCACAGACCTCCACAGGGTGTTTGTGAGAGCAACACCAGCAAATTTGAACAGACAAAAATAAAGACACATTGGAGAGCAGCCTAGGAACAGCAAGTGTGCACTGTCCCTAACAGGGCAGTAAAGATGTGGGACTTGCATCCATCAGCCATGCACAGCTCACCTCCCTCACTGCAGTGCCCTGATTTCAGCCCATGGCAGCGCTGCATTGAACAGCTGTGGAAAATGGAGGGGGGTGGAGATGCTGTACCTGGGGAAGGACAGGCTGGTTTAACAGCCCTCCCTGCTGCCAAATGCTCTGTGGGCTCTGCAGTCACCACCCAAAATAGAGGCACAGTCTGTGCCTCCTCCAGGAGACAGTCCCTGCTGGAAGTGTATCAGGGCATTGCTTGGGGCAGCGATTTCCTGCAGGAGCCACCTCGGGAGATGCCAGCTCCATGTCCTGCTGTACCTGCTCCCTTCCCTCTCCCCCAGCATCCAAGCTGCCTGTTGATGCTTGTTACAGCCTGGAACACAGGACTCAGGGCTTGACCTAGCAAGGAACGTAGGCAGGGTTTGGGCAGAAGGAAGGAAAGGTCCTGCACTGACCTCACAAAGCCTCCACATGTGGCTGTCACCTACTGCTCAAGACACAAGGGGCAGAGGAGAGGGGCTCCAAGGCAGCCCCTGTGACAGCTTTGTCTCCCTGGGACCAGACACTGCCCCGGAGCCACCTGCACTTCTCAAGCAGAGACACATCCTCCCATGGAGAACAGCTTGTCCCAGGTAAGCACCTTCTCCTCCCCTGCTTTTGCTGCCAGGTCCCTCCTAAAACGTGAGCTGCTTCAGCCCCAACTTGCCCAGCACAGGCTCCTGTCAGCACCTGAGCAAATCCTGCAAAACCCTGGCTCCAGACACAGCACAACAGCCCCAGAGCTTTACCCTTTGTGCTCTGTAACCACAAAGCAACAGCATGGATGGTT